TTTTACAAATCCCATATTTAATTTCATTGCAGCTCCCCATTGTCAAGACATAAGAACGTAAGGCCTCATTTTTCTTTCTCTTGCCTTACCTGATGAAAGAGCAGAACCTCAAAGTAGGCTGAATTGATGAGGCCTGCAGTTGCTACTAATGGAAGATTTCTTTTTTTTTTTTTTATGCTCTAAGTTGGAACAGTTTCAAAAGGCTCCCAAGAGCGGTATGATTTAGGAGGTGCCAAGTGGTTTCCAGAAAATTACCTGCTCACCTGTCTCCATAGCTGTAATCCTTTAAGAGTAAAATATGTTTCTCCTAACTGATAGTAACAGCTTTTGAAAGGCTTTGCTGCAGGCCTTTAGACCTTAAGTCTTATGCTCTGAAACCTCATGGTAGAACTCACAGAGCAGGCCCTTCTTGTTTCTGTCTTTGTGGTTGCCATTTTGTTGACCTGAATGGGTTAGATCATCCATTTCCTTTATGGAACCACCTGATATCTCACTGCAAAAATAATTTTAAAATCCTTTCCACTGGGGAAGTAATAATATTTTTAGTGTGCTTATTTTATTGAATTGCCAGTACATAAATAACAGTTCTGCAGTTATATAATAACTATGGATTATATCAAAAGAGAATGATGTGTTTCACTTTTCATAATTGTCCTGTGAGGTTAATGTGTAGCTGATATCAAGAATATTAATTTTATTCATTTTTGGCCTCCTTTTGACTTTCCCGTCTTTCAGAGAGCTGACAATCAGAGGTTCTAATTTCATCTTTCCATAGTAATCAGAATATTTTCCACAGGCTCCCTTGGTCTTTTGGATACTGATGGAGATAAGCTTTCTTTTGTCGGCACAGAATCGTTTGCATTAGTAGGAAAAAATAAAAAAATAAAACACAAGCAGCTTCCCCTGTATGTGTACTAGGGTATCTTCCAGACCCTCTCTGCTTAGGCTTTTCCAGCAGGTCTTGCTTTTCTGTCCTCACTGCTGCGTTTGCTGTTTGCTTCACTCCTTTATGACCCTCAGTGAAGAAGTGGTGAGGGTGACTGACTTCCTGTCTTGTATGCCAAACCTGTGCTTTCTGGTTGGCCAGAGCAGCTGAAGAAAAACAGCACAACTATCCCTTTCTACAGAAGGGAATAGCAAAATAAATTGGCAGTTTGTGTCTTTCCCACACCCGCTATCTTACTGACCTATGTGACAGTATAGGTGGTTGTTTAAAGGGCATGTTTGATTCTGTTAAACTCCACTGCCAAGGAAGAATCAGGAGTTCAAAAAAGCTTTATTTAGTGTTGACAATTCCTTTTGTTTCAACAGAGTAAAATAGTTCGTGTCCTGAACCTTTGGCAGAAAAATGGAGTGTTTAAAATTGAAATCATTCAGCCTCTCTTGGATATGGCAGCAGGAACTAGCACTGCTGCTCCTGTGACAGAAAATGCTACTAACAATGAAGGTAGGAGTGGCATTACAGCTTTTCCTTTTTTTAAAAGGTGGGATTTTACTAGATTTTTTAAAAAAACATAAAGAATTTTTAAGGTACCCACTCACAGTTGCAGCAGTAACATTAATAACCTTAATTTTACTGTTACCTGTACGCGGAGCTGCTGAACTCATTCTAAATGTATGCTGATACTCCACTTCCTGTGTGCACCTGGAAATTATGGGGAAGTCATCAATTGTTTATGTTGCACGTACGCATATGCATATGTGTATGTGCATATTTATTCTTGGTTTGAAATATTTAAATATTTTCTACTCCTTCTCAGTTGTATATTTATTATTATTGTTAGAATCTGGAATAGTAAACTGTGATCTTACATGCAAGACCTTTGTCATATGGGGAACAGGTTAGTCTGAAAGCAATTGCTGTTGATTTCTATCAGTTTGCAGCCCCCAGAATATTTCATATTGGCATTTCAGAACGCTGAATAGCCAATTTATGCTTATGAGCACTTTTATATGGACTACTGGTTGAAAATCCTGAACTCTAGTGAGTAAAATGGTGGCAGTCTGCCCACAGTGTTTTCACTGACTTACTTGCTGGCATGTAAATAGCAGGCAGCAAGGCAACTGAGCTGAGGAGGAAAGCGTGCCTACTATGCTCCTCTTTCTTCGGAGGGCCTTCTTTCGTATTTTGTACTCTATATTTTAGACTTAGCTTTGGTACCTGCCATTTTTATTGCTCAAGTCTGTTAGAGTAGGATTTGCAAAAAATGTATTGGTGTGAATGAGCTGTGACAACAGATAGTGAAATAATGATGGATAAGTTCCTCCAGCAGTGTTTAGGAAAGGGTATCTACTGGCCTGTTTTTTAAACCTGGTGGGTCAGGGGAGAAGTACCTCAGCCGATGAGCTGAGGTGCTGGCAGGCAGCTGGCTGTGCAGTTGCAGTTTGCTGTGGCAGGTGAGTGGCATTATTTTTTCATCTCTGTCTCATTACCAGTAGCTAACAGGCTGTGTGCCTTCTGCATAGATTTACACGTACAGAATTACTGATTTCAGTGTGCACCAGAGGGGATAATTTGGCTCAGAAATAAACATGTTAATGCATTAATATATTTATTATTATTCATTATGTGAAATAGAGTTGCTTCTCCTTGTAATACGGCAAAGACTAGCCCCCCAAAAAAGTGAAATGTAAATAGCTTCTCCCTTGAGCAAACAAATATCCTTCTGAATATATACAGGAAGTAATTTGAGAGTTAAATTATATTTCAAAACAATCACAAGTATCTTTCTGCAGGATTTTGCTGTAGCATTTGACTTCTGGGAAAATATTATTCAATGTGTTTATCCATCCTTGCTGTATGTCAACACTGCAGTTATTTAAACAGCAAATAGATTAATGGCTTTAAAGAATCTGATATTGTCAAGCAAGCATATTTGCTTAGTTTTTGAAACTACTATTTCTCTGTTATCTAGTTTTGGATCACAATAATTTTAAAGCACGTTTACTGTGATACGAGTTTTTTAAAAAAACTTCTACCCTTGAACTGTTTCATAACACACTTAATTGTTTTAATGAAATATTTGCCAAAGAACAGTTGCTTGCTGCCTGCATTTAAGAATTGATGGCACTGACTGCTGATTTACTTTTCTACACAGATAGTCCCTTCTTTGAAAGAATTAATAAAAGCTGTTTTTTAGGGATATTTAACCTATCAAATACAGGCCTGACGTGTTTACACAAGAATGGCACATGGGCAAACCTTACCAAAGTAAAGCTGCTTGTGCATTTGTTGAAATAATTTTTATAAGCTTAATTATTGGTTTTCTTGGCAACAGTTCAGTTATTGCTAGAAAATACCTTCTGTGTTTTCTATATTTCAAATGGATTGAAGGAATACAATTGTTTAAAAACCCCGGAGTTTTTCTTAAGCCATTAGATGGTTTATTTGACATACTCATCTCAAAAATGAGTTGAGATGTTAGAACTTCGCCAATAGAACTAATATGAGGTATTGATACTCATTGATTAAGTTTGCGTGAATGGTAGTTTTTCTCCTAACTGTCCAATTGTAGGAAAGTTGTTACAAACACCAAATTTTGAGGTAAAATACTATTCTGGACTACTTTTCAGGGAGCCTGTTTGTGTGTGTATCTTAAAATATATGATACACAGATGTTGTCAGCAAATAGAGCAGTTAAAGGTTGTGGCCAGAGGTGGGGTAAAATGTGCCCTTGAGCTAGTGCCAAGAGAAATACTGATGCTGGAGGCTCTGTTATAGATAATCCTTGTGAGAAGGTAGATGTATGCACTGCAGAGCAAGTTGAAAGCTTTGGGGGTAACACAGTGCTTTCTCTACCCCATCAAACCCAGGTTCACCGCCCCCTCCAGCAAAGGTTCCTTCAGAGCCCCCGCAAGTCACTGTTAACTCAGTACCTTCCGTGCCACAGTTGCCCAGTTCTGATGCCTTTGCAGCTGTAGCTCAGCTTTTTCAGACAACGCAAGGGCAACAGGTAAGCTCATTTTTATTGGATTCCCTTCTAACCTAGTTGGTATGTGAAATATGGAGTGAGGGTGGTGGGGGGAAAAGGATGGAAATGATATTTCTGATTTGAAGCAAAACAAAAACCTCTCAGAAGTCTTGAGCAGGAAACCTGCAAGGCTTAAAGTCAGCAATTGAATATTCTGTGACCCTTATGTACGTAATCACAGTATTTGAGGAAAATTCAGTTGTATTTGTAAAGCATTAGCTCTGACTTGATACAGTTATGTATTTTCAAGTTTATTTTTTGATACACTTGATAAAATGTTTACAGTGCTGGAATGCTTGAGTACTGTAGTCGTGGAAACTGCTGAAGTTGCCAGTGAAGTGTAAGGGAAAAAGTCACTTTTTAATATCTGTCATCTTTTCCCCTCCAAAAAAAAAAAAAAAAGAGGGTTTTTGTTGCTATAAATTGTTTGATGTTCATTAATTTCATTACAACTAATCTTCTACCCTGGATCGATGTTGGTTAGTTGTTTGTCTTAGTTTGTCACATCTTTCCCCACTTGCTTTTGAGAGAAATTGTTAATGTGCATCAGTTTATCTAGTAAAACCAGTAAACTGAAATTGGTGTGGTTGAAAAGTGAAGTGATTGAAAGTGATTAATAATCTAAACTGAATAAGTTTATGATAAAATAATAGTAATTATTGGAATAATCTGGTGTAATTTCAAGGGGAAAACCTTTTCTGGTTTGTGGAAAGATTCTTCTTGATTGTCGAAAAGGAAGAAGGTTAAACTGCTTAAGTGTATTTGCCTCTCTCCCTTCAAAACTCCATGCCTTTCCACCAAAAGATTTTGCTGCAACAATGTAAAATGAATTTTACTTTACTGATTCAGCTACTAAAAGGGGGAATTGCTATTGCCCCAGCTATGTTTCTTACCCTGTTTTGAATCTTAAGCACCTGCCCAATAAACCTTTTAAATTTTGGATAGTTGTAAGAGCATTCATGTCAGAGTTTCTGCTTTCAAATCAAAACAAAAAATTGCTTCAATATGTATCCTGTAGCTTCAGCAGATTCTTCAGACTTTTCAGCAGCCTCCAAAACCCCAGTCACCAGTCATAGATAACACTGTGATGGCTCAGGTTCAAGCTATTACTGCTCAGTTAAAGACTACAGCGGCGGCGGCAACAGCACAAGCACCAGAACAAAAAGCTGTTTTCGCACCACCCGAGCAAAAAACATCGTTTGACAAGGTAAGTCTTAACTTGTTCTTTTTGTTAGTTTGTTTAACAACTTAAAACTCAACAGAAGATTGTTTGATGGATGACCTCGAGGTCTGCTGTTAGGAAAAAATGGTGCATGTTTTGTTCATTGTCTCCTAGCTTGGAGGTTGCTTTCCTGTTCTTTTTCACCATGTGTAGTCTTCTTGATCTCTCCAAAGCTGACTAAAATGGGTTTTGAAGAGTTTGGTTGACTTCAATATTTTCTTTGCTTCTGATCTCTCTCTCTTTCTCTTTCTTTCTTTTTCTTTTTTTTTTAATGTAATTCCAGAGCTGTTGCATGGATAGTAAGACATTTCTAATAAGGATGGGTTCTTGCCAGCTATATAGAATACTGAAAAAGTATTTCGCTCCATGTAATTTCTTTCAGAAGCTGCTAGATCGATTTGACTATGATGATGAACCTGAAGCAGTGGAGGATTCAAAGAAGGAAGATTCAGCTCCTTCTCCATCAGTTTCTCAGCCAGCTTTGTAAGTTCTGTATCCCAAAGATTTTTAGAAAAAAGCTTTGGTTAAAAATCTGCATTATTCAAGTGTTTCATTTTTAGACTCCAAAGTTAAATCCTTGTTAAGCAGCTGTTGGGTTTTCTTACTTCAGTGTTCCAGTGTAAGTCTGGCATGTCGCCTCATTGCTTGAGGAATGTGTTTGATGGAAAAAATTGAATTTTGGTTGCAAGATGAGTTTTGTGTTTTTTACTGCACAGCTGAGCGTGTGAAGGCATTGTTAGCTATTAATCAGTTGGATGGCTTTGCTGGCAGTGGCGAAGGTGCGGTTCCAAACGTTAGAGCGCTCTTAAAAAGTATTAACTATCTTCAGTCTTAAAATTGACTTTGCAGCTTTAAGATCTCACACATTAAACACCCGTGCAAACTAATTCAGACCCCTTTTCCCCTTTTGATATGCATTATGATAAAATCTTTAGTTACATGATCACATACTAGTTTTTTCCACAGGACCTCTCTCTCATTCAGTGCACAGGCTGGATGGTGCTCAATACCTGGGTTAGTCATTATTTCTTTTTTCCCTGCTTCAGTATGTGGCCTCTATGTCTTATTTCTGTGTATGCAATCCAAACCCTACTCTAAAAAATCGAATCAATAGTTTTGTCATTAACTTTCTTACTGTATTCGGTCACCTAAAGCACTTTAATGATCCACAAGCATTAGTTGACCTAAATGCCTTTTAGGGTAAATTTGTAGCATTTTCCCTATTACACAGCTGTGAACTCTGGAGGTTCAGAAAGATGAGGTAGGTCAAACATATCCACTCTCTGTGTATTCTCAATTAGAGATCACAGGACTAGGTTTTTCAGCAGGTTTTATGCTCTGTTTGTAGCACTCTAAAGCCATTGTCCTCGTGATTTTATAGTTGCTTAAGATGCTTCTGAAAATTGGATTCTAGTAGTGCATGCGAAATGAGAGATGCTCTCTATGAAAAACTGAGCTGTCCAGAAGCACGTGAGAATTTTAGGACACCTGTATCTCAAAATACTGCACATTTCTGTTCACATCACCATGAAATTCTTTTAGCTTCCTGTAATCTTGTTTAGTTTTTTACACAAACAGCATCCTGTAAAAAGTTCCTGCTAGCTGCACAAACCTCATAAATTCCCTGAGCACTGTCCATTCTGCGTGTTGAATCAGGAAGTGAATGGCATTACTGCAACCCCACTGTGACAGACATAGCCCTTCTTCTCTGCCCTACACTCCTCCCAGACTTCAAGTTTCTGCTCTGAAGCTTGGAGAATAAAGGGGTGTGTTTTTTCAGCAAGAGTATGGCTAACTTTATTTTTCCTTGAGGGAAAAAGTGTCACTTCTGTCCTTCCTGAAGGAGGAACTGGTAAGAAGGGTAGTTAGCCTAGGATAGACAATCTTCCTGAACTGCTTCCGTAGACTAAGGAGTTTAGCAGGATTGTTTAAGTACAGGGGGAAAAGAGGTTTAAACATATAGCATTTATGTAGCATCTATTAAAATGTTAAAGGGTTCATCTTAAAATGGATGCTTCCATTCTTCCTGAGTTTGTTTTTGCTTTTCAGAGGAGAGGTGGGATCTTAATGAAGATTTTTTTTCTTCTAAATTTGAAGCAAGATGTGTAAATGCACATATAAATATGTAAGATAAAAGCAAAAAAACCCTCTCTGTCTGTTGACTTTTCTCACCAAAATATTACTGGTTTCAGTGGTTTTCCAGCAGAAGGTATGCAACAACCAGTATTTCCACAACTCCCGAATATGGATCCTTTTCAGCAACGAATGATGGGAATGCAACAGGATCCAATGCGCCACCAGGTAACTTTTAAAAAACTAAATATCTTTAATAAATTTTTAAAATTGTTGTCCTAGTCTTTTTTGAATTTTGTCATTTTCTTCAGTGGAGAAGCACAGAGGAGATGCTCTCACTGAGTGATGAGTGAATGTGGTTTAGTTCTCCAGCTTTCCAGAGAAAGTTGTTTTCATTCTCTGTTCCAATACAGCTTTTTTATTTTTTGCTCTGCAGATAGGATGCTTAACCTGCTTCTTTCAGGCTTCTGCTCTTGTATTGTGAAATCTGAGCAGAGGGACAATTTTACTCTGACTGAACTGGAAAGTCTAACAGGGTTTTATCCTAACTGGAAGTTTGTGTTCTTTTTTCCCTGAAGGTTCCACTTCCTCCTAATGGGCAAATGCCGGGTTTCGGTCTCCTGCCTACTCCGCAGTTTCCACCCATGGCTCAGCCTGTGATTCCGCCAGCAGCACCTGTACAGCAGACATTTCAGACTCCTTTCCCTGTACAGACTGAAACACATATGCAGAAAACACATCAGCAGGTGGAGACCCTTTTCAATATATAAGTACTTATGTTCTAATATTTAATTTTCTCAAATACGCATAACTTCTTCAGAAGAATAAATACCATGAAAACCATGTCTGGAGTTGGCTGTGAGAGTAGTTTATCTGCAAGAAATGTGGATAGCCACAGTGCTACATGACAACCACGTCAACAACACCAGAGCCAAACAGCATACTCTAATTCTGGAGAGAAGCTATTTGAAAAAGCTAGTTTTTCTGAAATAGTGGAAATGGACTCAGAAGTCTGTAAAAGTTATTTTTGTTTATTTATTGAAAAATAAAAACCACCAAAAACCTTCCCTCCTGTTCCTAAGGTTTTGGAGGGTATTGTTTGTTCAGTGACTGGCTTCTGTCAGAGCAAGACTGTTTTTGAGCCTATGTTAAGGAATGAATTAATTAAATAAGTTTTAGGAGTTCCTAAAGTAGACGCTAACATTCTGCATCTAAAAAGATTTTAAAGCAGTTCTTTAGGAGCTTGTAGATAATGTTGGGGTACTGAAAATTGATATGTGCTCAGCACTTGAATATTTTTACTTCCTTTTTTTTCCAAGAAAAGGAAGTGTTAAATAAGAAAAACAGTATTAAGCTGTCTTTATGTGGAGACGGATGATATCACAGGTTCTAGTAATTACCCCAGAAGGAGCTCCTTCTCAAGAGTTTCTCTTTACCAAATTTTTTAGTCTTGAGTTTTGAGAGATTGTCTGCTCAGATGTTTCCTGGCAGGATTGCATCGTGAAGACTATTTAAAGCTTGGGCAGGACACAGTATGTTTTGGATTCTTTCCAGCAGAATTGTCCTGCAGGATTGGTTAGCTTGGTGCTTGTCATTTGTGGGGTTTTTATTCCTTTTTTTGTTGTTGTTGTCATCTTTTTAATCTCTCCTACTTAGGAATTGTCCTGTATTGTTTCCTTTCAACTTAAGCAAGTGCTTATACATTTAGAATCCCCATTTTTTTGTATACAAACATGTTCATTTTGTCTACGGATATGTTCACAACTTTAAGCTACTTCATTTTAAGGCCAAACTCATTCTTTAAATATCTCTAGGAAGGTTTTCAAGAACATAATGTTGGTAAAATTTTAATGAACGTCAGAGAAATAGGATATGGGTGGTTCTTTGTTATACTATGTAGCTATGACTTAAATCTAACATTTCAGTATATTTAATTTATGGACTGATGATGTGAATTTTTGTATAAACTGTTTTTAGTATTTTCACAGTGATTGTGTTAAAATCATGTAATACTGGACTGTCTCCTTGTTAGTGACTGTAAAGTAATGGTGAAGTTTGAGAAGAATTGTGTTTCAATTTCACATATATGAATATTCAGTATAATTTTAGTGCTGCTACGTAATTTAGTTAAGACACAAAATGAAATAAAATGCTCAGAATAACAACAACAAAACTGAATATTTCAGGATATGGAAGTGGAACAGCCCCCCGTTCAAGAAGGAAAAAGACATGTTTCTGACAGCAGAAAGTCAAGATCTAGATCTGCATCAAGGTAAATTAGTGGAAGTTCTTTTAATTATAAGGTATACATTGTATAAAGTGTTGGAATTTAATATAAACTTTAGTGCATAATGTCCAAAACTAGTTTTGCTTCCTTTTTTGTGTAATAAGGAGAGAGTAGGCCTGGTGCTCAGAGAAACTGCCTCTTTGAATGTCCTGGAGGCAGATTAGTGATTTAAGGATTTGTGCACCCCTGAAAGCCAGCTAAGGAAAACTGTAGTTCTTTTTACTGGCAGAGAATAACTTTCGCATCTGTTAGTACTGGCTAAATTTTAGCGAGGCAAAATGTGATAATTTTGTCTGTGTTTGAAAGATGCTTTTTCTTATCAAGAGATGTGTGATCTGGTGTATCGAGGTCCACTGCTTGTCAGAGAGGCAGTTTCCCAGGACCTGAGAGAGCTGGCTCCAGTACTAAGCAAAACCATCTACTTAATTACCAGTCTTCTCCTTTGCCAAACTTCATATGGCTTCTTTGGAGGTTTACTCTCTCTTCCAGACTCTGAGTTGCCATTTTATTTCTATTATAGAATACTTCTGCTTCTCACTTTAATATAAAACTGATACAGAGAAGATTAGAAACTTTAAACTGACTAAATGTTTGGGTGGAGAGCTGCTATTATAACTTGCTGCAGTCCTAAATGCATGTGAATGGTCCTGGGTTGGTATTTTTTTTACAACTGAACTCTTGCCTGATTAGTTAGCTAGATCCATGAAGTAGCTGCCTGTCTCTCTGTGTCCGGGTCAGAACGGCTGAAAGTAAATTGCTGTTTAAACTAGGTCGCCCAAAAGGAGGCGTTCGCGGTCCGGCTCCAGGTCTCGCCGGTCGCGCCATCGCCGATCCCGCTCGCGATCCAGGGACAGGCGCCGACACTCGCCCAAGTCTCGCTCGCAGGAAAGACGGGAGCGCGAGAGAGAGAGGGAGCGCAGGGCGAAAGGCCTTCCGCAGATCAAGGCAGAAACTGTCAGTGGTGAGTTCGCTCTCTCTGTCTGCTGTCCATGGCGCTTCGCAAGTTCTGCTGGTGCTGCTGTTCAGCTGCTCGAGATCTGCCTTGGTCAGATAACGAGTGTTTTTCTTTTTAGTATCCACTATTTTCTTTAATGAATTCTAGAGTTCTCTGAGGTTAAAGAAATTACTGTGTTTTCAAAAAAATTCTATGCCTTCGTAGGAGTGCACTGTTAAGACAGACTTCGGTATTTAAAAAAAAAAATACGAATGTGAAGGAAAACACATTCATCTGTCGAAGACAACTCCTTCTGACAGAAATATTTGAGTCAGAAACTCCACTCATTACACAACTTCTGCTCAGGCTATCGCAGAGGACAACTCCTTCTGACAGAAATATTTGACTGATGTGAAATAATTCACTGGTGACTGACTTTTGTTGTTGTTTTTGACTTATTGAACTGCCATCTTGCCAAAAACACGTGCCAGACAGTTCAGTATATTGTTTAAAAAATGTAACTTCTAGCAGTTTTGTGTATCTTTGCTTAGTTTTCAGTGCTTAAAGCATTAGAGATCTGAGACTGAGTTTAGATAACGATTGCCAGTTTATTAATAATTATTATTAGTTATCATTATTTATCGTTATTCCTGCTCCTTCTTACCCTCATATTAGACAATTCAGCCTTTTTGGAATATCTCTAAGTTGGAAATATTTTGACTCTAAAATGAGGAAGGAAAAAGCTGAAACACATTTTTCTTTCCTTTAGGACATGTAAGGTAAAGTAGATTAAACAGCAACTTGAGCACATGATTATAATTTCTGTAATGATTCAATGGTGTGTATCTCAAATCTGTAGAGAAGCTTTGACCTGGAAAACACAAAGGCTAATGTTCTCAATTCTGAAATAATCCTGGTTTTGCCTGTATTTATAGACAAAATGCAGTTGTCATTCTCTGGCGATGTGAAATCTTCCCTTTAATATCAACTAAAAGGAGAACATTCTCCTTGATGTAAAAGGACAAAAGCTTCAAAACAAACAAACAAAAAGACAAAAAAGATGCTATTTAAGGTGATGCAAAAGTTGGTAGCCGTTAGCTTCAAAGCTTACTAGCAGTGTTGTAAGATACTCTTTTTGCCAGCATCTCTTCCAGATTTTGTTACATCAGACTCTTTAAGTCTAGCAACTATATTTCACTCAGCGAGGAAGACATAGATGATGAGTGTTAAGTTGACACAATAGTCTTCTGAGAATATATTTTGAGCTCATCTAAAGTTTTATTAGCCTGAGGACAGAAGTGAGATATAAACATGTTGCTTTACTCTTTCATCACAGAGAAAGAAATCCTTTAAATATTTTTTTTCTCTTAACATGGAAGTAAATGGCATTGAATAGGTCACTAAAGAGGATATAAGTTCTGTTACTCATTATAGTTGATTCGTCAGCACATTCTGGAGGAAAATCTCACTATAGTAATGGGTGTGTTGCTATAAATGATTAAGTATCATCTTGCTAGTAAGTATCTGTAACTTGTGATGCTGGCCAGGAGCTTGGATTTCACGGTGTTCAGAGTGAGTTCCCTTGTTGTGGAATATCCACCACAGGTGCTGGGAGGATATTTCACAGAGCAGTGCTGGCAGCAAAACATTCTTTCCTTCCTGTGTTTTGCAGAGCTCACAACCTGTGCTTGCAAGTCACCTGTTAATATTAATTAACTAGAAAGCTTGTTTGTAGGTGTGTTCTAACAGTGATTGATTGTGATGTTCTTGCTGTTTTTAACTCTTAATTCAGCTCCAGGCAGGCAAAAAGTGTTTTTCAAATACTCCTTTTAAAGATTACAAAATAGATTTTAATGTTAGCAGGCTTTTTCATTGGAATGTCATAAGCGACTGTTAACACGACTATTTTAAGATTTTTGGCTTGAGATCTGTACTTACAACTGCTTTTAAAGCTGTGTTAACTCTTTTGATTGTAGTCTGTAGTACTACACTTTGGGTCGGACAACTTGATAAAAGGACTACTCAACAGGATGTTGGAAGTCTTTTGGAGGAGTTTGGCCCAATTGAATCAATAAATGTAAGTATAAATAGCATAGTGCAAGCCACTTTGATATGCCTTGGTTGCAAAAAGTCTTTTCAGTCTATGAGGAGCAAAAAAAAAAAAAAAAAAGGCACGAAACAGCTTCTGCAGGAAAAACAATTATGCGTCTTTCTGTGTTCTAACAGAATGTCTGTGTTTTCTAACCAGTGAACTCGGTTCATTTGTGTGTTTCGCGTGTGTGAGGGGGAGACAGGACAGTTGCTTTAGTGTAGCTTTACATTTAAAAGAGCCCTGTTGGGATTAGTCCAGAAGATGACCCCATTTTCATAAAGCTCAAGCTTTAATGATAAAAGGCCATTGAGGAGGTGGACATAGGGCAAATTCTATGCTACTGAGGGTTTCTTTTTCTTTTTTTTCCCTCTTTTTTTTTCCTGCTGCTGCTTGTTGTCTAGTTATAGAAAGATAGAGCCTTACTGGTGTTTTTGTTGCTCTTACTTGTTTCTCTTCTATTATTTTAGATAAGCTTGGAAAAGCATTGTTAAGATTTGTTGTGTTAAGGATACTTTATAGATAAACAGTAGTTGTGTTCCAGTAGCAATTTTATTTAAGCAAAACAAACCCAACTTGCGGTTGTAACTTTCTTGCACTTTTCAAATTTTATAAAACAGGATGTATTCTGTTCTTCCTCAAATGCATTAAAAATAATATAATAAAAATTGCAATAAACCTGCAGATAAAATTGAATATGAAGTTGTAATCGGCAATTTGAGATTTGGAATAAAGTTGAGGTATTAGAGTTGTTTTTCTTCCAACAAATTAACTAATTCCAAGGCCACAGCACTTAAACGAATACTACTTTTTAGCCATTTTAAGGATTAAATATGCAATATGAATTAATCTTCTCACATGGAATACAGTTATAAACTTCCTAGATAAGAAGTTGCTTCGCATTTACCAGAAACTTATTTCAGGAAGATACTTGCCACTTCAGCTTTTAAAACCTTAAAAATGGTCATATGTCTGTAGTCCTTTCTGAGAAACCTACTGATATTCCATTTAAGTGCAGTTAAACTGTTACATGTTAATTGCTTTGTTACTGTGGTAGCAAAAACAATTTGTTTTTTTCTTAAAATACAAACAGATGATACCGCCTCGAGGATGTGCCTATATTGTAATGGTGCACAGACAAGATGCTTATCGCGCCCTACAGAAATTGAGCCGAGGCAACTTCAAAGTGAACCAGAAATCCATAAAGGTATTTCTTACAAAGTCTCAAATTCTTCTAAAATTAATTGTAATTCTTTTTTTATTGCATTCTAGACTTCTATACATTCTAGATATGCTATTTTGTAAGATATGTAGACATATATATGAATGAGCCTTGTTTATGTTAAGTCTTGTTCCTGTTCTGTAAAGCAGCTCATAGAATTTGTGTTCGTTTCCCTAAGAGATTGCCCATAGTTATATATTCCACCAGCGAAAACGGTGTGTGTCTTTTAATTGTAACAGTGGATTGTTAACCATGATTTTCCTTGATGCTGGTTACTTTTTCTTATAACGGAGCTTTATTAATACTCTTTGAAGCCTTACCACATAATAATGTGGTAGAAGTCATTCATTGTTGAAGTTCTTTCTTCTGTAGAACATTATACTAGAGAGGGTCACTGTCCTCTGAAGCAAAATAAAGTTCACTTGAAGAAATGCTTGTTGTGCTTATAGAGCAATTCTAGTTAGCTGAAATGACCTGGGATCACTTAAAAGAAGCATAGAAGTACTTTCTTTAAAAACTATATGCAACTGCTGGTCAGAATAGCACGTAAAAGCTAATTCTGCTTTACATAACCTATTTGAGTTTTGTCCTTAAACTACTTTTCCTGCTATTTCAATTAGAGTATTCTCCTTTGCTTCCTAACCTCAAACTGTAGTGCTATTTAGTGAAAACCTAGTCATTAAAGTGAAAACATGTTACTGACTACATATATTTTCCCCCAAGATTGCATGGGCTTTGAATAAAGGAATAAAGCCAGATTACAAGCAGTATTGGGATGTAGAATTGGGGGTTACCTACATACCATGGGACAAAGTGAAGCCTGAAGATCTGGAAAGCTTTTGTGAAGGAGGAATGTTGGACAACGAAACTCTTTGTCCAGGTAAAATACTGTTGGATCTGAAAAGTGTTTTTTAAGCAGTCATCCCCATACTGTGGTATTGAGGTTGGTGTGGCTGATGTTCCTGAGGGTGGCGTGTAGCAGCCTTCACGTGGCTCGGGGCTGCAGTCGGAGTGACCTGGGGCTTACAGGGACACCCAGGTGGTCAGTGCTGGTGGGTCGTTAGCGCGAGGGGAGCGGGCTAAGCAGCACTGGGGCTGCGGGTGTCCTGCCGGCTGCACTGCGCTCTGCCCTCCCCAGGAATCCGGGCTCAGCTGCCCCGGGGCTGGCGCAGGCCCTCCGGTTTGTGGGAAGTGTCCCTGGCAAGGGAACCTCCGTTTGAAGTACTTGTGTGAAAATAAAATGTTTCCATTCCAATTGCCTCTGTTTGTTTGTTTTTATATTAATAGGAGAATTTCAGCTCCTTTAGGAGGCACTGTGTTTAATTTGGCTGAAATAATTTTGTATATAAGTCGAGAAAAGAGCGGGTTTTGTTTCTTTTTGAATTAAAAATATAATTATACCTGCTATAAGCAGTAGCTCCAAATCAATTACAGGTTATGTCAGTACAGAATTGCTAGGGATAAGCTACAGTGCTAGCTGTTGTGGTTTTAAAAGTAATAATAAATAAATGCAGTATTTACCTAAGAACTGAACTAGCACTCTAGGTTATTTTGCTGGTCTTAACTGTGCAACTGTTGAATGGTAATGCTGTTTAGCTGCTGAAATGTGATTTTAAACCTGAAGCTAATGTTCCTCCTGTTTTGTAGTCATTCCACATTGTTGTATTTTCATTTTGCTATGAGTTGTAAATTTTAGATTTTCAAAAATAGCTTTTCAAATAAGTGAAAAAGCTGCTGCTTTGCCCTAGAATAATGAAATGTGTTGAAGGCTTCTCCCAAGGCAGCCTTGCTGCTTTTGTTGCAGCTTTAGTATCCTGGACGTGCACATGCGCCGTTGGCACAAAGAGTAGAATTGGGAAATGACGAATGAAAGGAGTAGATTTGTTTGCCCTTTTTCAATGACAGTGGTTTGCTGTACTGTATTCAAAGTAATTTGGGGATTTCATTTTCAGAAATACCCTTTAAATAAAACTTATTTCTGTAGGCTTCTCTTTGTTTGCAAAATAATTTTATTTGGCTTCATTTTTTTAAACATTGCAAAACATACTGGTTTTACATGGCAATACTTGACTACTTGTCCACTTCTACTGAACCTTTTATTTTTCTTCCTTTATTTCTAATGCAGAGTGGAAGGGGATTCCCAAGAAGTCTGAAAATGAAGTAGCTCAAAATGGAGGTGCAGAAGCTACACATAATGAACCAGTCTCACCTATACCTAAAGCTTTACCTGTTCCAATTCCCGTTCCCATGCCTGCACCAATAACTGTACCTCCTCCACAGGTGAGAGTTGCTTCTTGTTTGCTTTGGATATCTCATCAGAACTGATGAATAGCTTAAGTAGTTGAATGTGTGTGTTTCACGTTGTCCTCAATTATAACTGCTCGTGTTAGCAGACTGCCCGTGCTGGCACTTCACACAGGTAATTTTCCTGTGCCATAAATCCACTATGCACTTGAAATTGGGTTACTTGCTCTTTCCCTCATAAAAGAGCAACACAATGTAATTGAAGAACACTTCCTGTTCTGCTAAGCCACAGGCAGACTTGGAAAAACCAAGCCCACTAGGTCTGGAGCACATTTTGTGCCCAGCAGGAGCAGAGCTTCTGGTCTCGTTCCCTTTGAAAGGGAGGTAGTTTGCATGTGCCCACACAGCCTTGGGAATTGAGGCAGCACGTGGTTAGTGGGAGCGACGCAGCATGTGCTTCAAAACCTCACTGCTGCCATGAACCAACATGCAGGTGTAGCCTGTCAGATTCAAAGTAATGTACAGCTCAAAATTTTATTGTGATGTATGTTAAAAGTAATTGTTAGCTTAAATATCTTGCAGTAATTAAAAACAAAAAAGTTATTCTCTCAGGTATTTAATAATCTGTTTCTCTTTTAGCTTCTTGACAAACAATTGTTACTAGTTTTATTGTAATCGTTTTTTCTGCTCACTTAAAATACTAATGTACCTTTGAAGACCTTTGAATAAAACTATTTTAAATGTTGGGAAAATATGATTTGTGAGCCACAACATGGCAGATAGGCCCAAAAAAAAAAAAAAAAAAAAAGATGATGAACTCCAATTATTCAAAGACAAAAATATTTTATCCAAGCCCGTGGTTTCAGAACATAGAATGCTTAATTCTGGGCTGTTTTGACACAGGATTCCTGTAATTCTGTAAGATATTTTCAATAAATAAACAAGCAGGTCAAATCTTGAAATTCAGAGGGCTTTAGTACAAAGTAGCTGTTATTAAAATTAACTGTAATATTAGTGTTTTTTCATTGAATTCACACTGTGAAACAAAGCATAAATAAGAAACCCAGCAGTTTTGTAACATGAGAGTGAGGTGAGTTTGTTCCAGTCGCATCAGTCTTGTTGGTTTTTTACTATGGCAAAGGAACTTTTCCTGTAGTATTTACAAATTCAGACTGGGATCAGGGAGCTGTATTTGGTCGGTGTCTCTGGCTTCACCATGAAATACGTGCATCATACAGTTCATTATTGTTATTATTTAGGCTGTATTACACTTGACCAGTTCAGTTATCTTTTCTAGAGCACTATAAATTAAAATAGCTTAACAATTTGTAAATAGTTCTCAAAACTTACCAGTTTGGTTCAGCTCTCATGATATAGATGATGTTAGTAGTAAAGGTAACTTGTTTTTGCTATGCGTATGTCTAAATGTGGCATAACACCTAAAGGAAACAGCTCACTATGTGCCGTTTTTCGTTTAAATCACTTTTGATAACCCCTTTGCAGTTTGTCTGACGTGTTTTGTCCTATGGCACAAGCAGAGCTGCTCTCGCCCGTGCTTGGCCTCAGCGGTTGGGGCTGTGGAGGTGGCTGCTGGGCGGTGGGAGGCTGCTCGCTCCGGCAGAGCTGGAAGGAGCGCTGGCACGCGGAGACCGCGGGCTCCGTCTGCCTGTCCGGGTGCTCCCCGGCAGCCGGTGCCCGTCTGCCCTGGTGCCTCTGTGAGCCCCTGAGGCGGGGTGACACGTGGGACGCCAGCAGAGCAGGTTTGGTGCCTTGTCACAGTTTAGGCTGCAGAACCACCTGCCGAATCCAGCCGCCCACCATGGTGCTGTCCGTGACGCGGGTCAGCTCCGGTTGCCCTCTGCCCACGGGCAGTCCCTGTTGTTGCCTTGGTAGCTCCTCGCGTCTTCCTGAGTCACTTCGCTGCAGGCCAGGGCCTGGCGGCAGCTTTGGTCGGACTGCAGGCAGGTGACGCTTCCCTGCTTAGGGGTCGCGTCCCAAGGAGCTGCATCTCCCTGCAGGGAGAACACGGGCTTCCCAGTACCACCCCCCCGCGGGCTGCACGTGCAGGGAGGGGAGCCCAGGTCGCTGGACGTTACCAGTGAGGGTGCAAGTAGCCTTAGGGGCCTTAATCAGTAATGTCCCTGTGCGAGTGGTAGCCCGTGTAGGTAAGTGTAGTTCTTTGGCCTGGAAAGCCTCTTCCCGGCCACAGGGCCCTTGCCGCTGGGAAGCGAGTTGGGGAACTCTGCTGGCTTCCACCTGCTGGAGTGAGGCCTCTTCCTGCCTGGAGCGCCTGAGCTGCTGCTGGTTGTGGTGCCCCTCCAGCAGCCCGGGGTCGTCCTCAGGGTCTCCTCTGGCCGGGGGAAACTGCTTTGAGAGGTGCTTTACTTTTGATTGACTTCGGTCCACAAGCAGCTTGACGTAGACTGGAATGAAAATCCCAATAATAATTGCCAAAGTAAAGAAAGGTCATTCTAATAGGCAAACCTAGCTGGTTAAGAAAAACTAACTAAATAAAAAGTTCTGAAATTGCTCTGAAGTTGTGCAGTATACCATGCTGGCTAATAAAATTTATGCTGGCTACTGTATAATGGCTATATTTAGATGTTAGATCAGCATGTCATAACATTGATGAGCGCAGAGGCTCATTCTCCCTTTAAGAAGAGAGGCAAACAAGATTAATGTTTATATTTTAAGCTGGAGTTCTTTGACTGCTAATTAGATCAATTATTTAAGACACCTTATTGCAATGTAATTTAAGATAGTTTAAGCCATCTTGTTTTGATGGACCAAGCAAAGAAGAAAAATCTGTACATAAGGCCTTCAGTCTTGATATAGTATCGTTTTCCTCTTCCTTTCCATAGGTTCCACCACATCCCTCAGGCCCCCCTGTGGTGGGTGCCCTCCAACCCCCTGCCTTCACAGCACCTTTAGGAATCCCTCCTCCTGGATTTGCTCCTGGGGTGCCACCGCCGCCGCCACCACCCTTCTTACGACCAGGGTTCAACCCAATGCATTTACCACCAGGTACATTTATGTATTTATAGAAATATTAAGTCCTTTATGTTGCGCCTACTTTTATTGGCTATGTGATTTAAAACAAACAAACAAACAAACAAAAAACCTGCGCAACCACATTTTGGTTAAGTGATACGCTATGTTAATAAATGCTTTTCTTATAGGCTTTCTTCCTCCTGGACCACCACCACCTATAACTCCTCCAGTATCTGTTCCTCACACTCCAGCAGTTAACATCCCAAACTGTAAGTGTTTGAATCCTGGGCAAGTAGCTGTGGAAGAAAGGTATCATGAAGGCAGAGAAACTGACCTTTTTTTTTTAAAAAAAAAAAAAAAAAAGTTAATGCAATTGTTCTTTAGCTACAGCAGCTGGGGTAAATGAAGACACTACAAAAGATGCATCTGTTGGAAATCCCATCCCTACGGTGGTATCTGGATCCAGAGGAAATGCAGAAACTAGTGATAGTTCCAAAATATATCCGACTGTTCCACCTCCTGTAGCACCTACTAATGTACCTGCTCCTGTTACCCAAGCTATTCCACTTCTTGGTAAGTTCTTTTTGTATTTATTCTCCAGTTTATTGTTTTCTGAATTAGAAATAAGGTTTTCATTTTGCTGCTGATTTACAGTTTCTGGGAAACTAAAGTGGATTTTCAGCATTTGTTCAAATTTCTGCTTTGAAATAATTTTAAAGGCTGGTTTTGCACAGAAGAAACAGTAAAACTGGTGTTATTGAAGATCTCTGGGGTTTTTTTTGAAGAAACGAAACTGTAAATTTTAACTTACAAATTCAGGCCAGTGGCATGTTGTCTAGTTTAACAAATTGCAAGTTTGTAGAATATCTTAATGAAAAAACATTGTTACATGAACCGTGTTTTAGGCTTGATTCTTGCATGTATAGTGACTTCTATAAACATAACTTATAGCAGAAGAGTATTCTTTCAAAACTGTATTTTTTAAAATCTGTCAAAATATGACATACTATTTCTGTATGGAATAAATTATTTTAATAAAAATAAATTTTTAAAAAGCTTTCATTTAACCCTGTTTTACAGGTTTTGAAACCTTTTTGCTTGTCAAAAGAGCATATTACTAAAATGAGTTAACTCTGGATATCTTTCATAGATTTAAATCTATGAAAAACCTCAACATGAGAAGTAGAGGATAGCGTGCTGTTCAGTGTTGCAGGGGTCGGCTAAATATTTATTTTTGGCCCTTTATGGTTCAGTGTGTCAAGAATACACTCGGAAGGCAACGAGAGGATTGTTCCATTTATGTGATTTCAGACCTCTAAATGAGAGCATGACAAGGATATGAAGATTAATTTTAAGTGTGTTTATTCCTAAACATGTGCAGTATTAACTGCAGAACAAACTTAAGATTTTTCTTTTTCTCCCTCTGAGAGTTTACCGCTTTGTTGCATTCGATGCATAAGTTTTCCTTCTGTGACTAGTGATTTTTGGATGCTTCACGTTGGAAGCTCTAGATGACACCCTCCTAAACGGAGCTGTTCAAAAGCGACGAGCCTCTTCCCTCTACAAACCCGGCTGCTTGTGACGTCCAGCAGAGCAGGCGTCCAAAGCCAGTAACTAGGTGTTCTGAGAGCAGCTTGGCCATTTGACAGATAGAGATGGGCTTAAGGAAAAAACCGTGGTGGCAGCAAGGGTGTGTTTTGTAGTGATAAGGGTTATCTGCCTTTACACTTTTTCAAGACACACGTCTTAATAGCTAAAGGATGTTTTCTGTTTTTATAATGGTAATCCAGTATTACCAAATTATTTGAAGTTTTATGTTACTGTGTCTTGTACATCGTAACCTGAGCCTTTTATTGCAACCCTTTGAAATGCATCATTCCTCGCTGGAAGGCTTTGTCGCTGTATACAGAAGAAAAAGCTTTTGTTAAAAAAAAAAAAAAAATGAAGTAATTTAAATGCCCATGTCACTTGGGGGGGACAGTAGTCTTTACTCCTACAAATTCAAGGAAGGTGAGTTTTATAAATTAGAGAATCAAGCATTTACCTTTGTTTTTATTAGTTGCTGTATGGGATAGTTGAGGATGCAGTTGCCATGTAGTCAGTCTCATCAAGAAGGGGTCAGAGAGGGTGTGACGTTTTTGTTTGTTTTTCAGATTATAAGTCTGTGTACATTCACAGTGTAGGAGAACCGAAGTACTAACTAAAAGCTTTCTCTGTTCCTTTTTCAAGTAATTACATATTGTATCAACAAATGTCTTATTTCAAAGGGAAGTTATAAAATCAAGGAGTTAAGTAAAGTTTTTCCATTCCTGACATTTCAGAGTTACAGGGGACTATTCACAATGAGATGTAAGATATAAGAAAAGCAGCAGAAATAGATTATAACATTTTACATGATTAAAGGTTGGAAAAAAAAAAAAGAAAATAATTTTGGTCTCTCTTGCTTTTAAGTCTCTCCAGTAAGTTGAGACAGAGGGAGCTCTTGTCTAAAACCACTGTGACTCAGCAGTTGAGCATAACTATGACTGCGAGAGACCAGATCTGGTCTCTTCTTAAGCTGGAAGAAAAACATGAGGTGATTCCCCCCACCCCGCCATGTGTGCTGTATGTGGATTGCAAGGAAGAAGCATCCCTTGCAGTCCTCCCTCCCCTTCATCCGAAGTCGGGAGCTGGCCGGGCTGGGCCTGGTTCCTCTCCGTTCTGCGTGCCAGGTTTCATCCCGGGCGGGACAGGGACGTGGGGCTCCGCACGCGCCTGCAGCCGGGGCGCCTGCAGGGCTCCCCCCGGGGCGAAGCCTGCAGCTTGCGCAGGGCAAACACGTGGGAACGGGACACAGGCACGAGTAGGTAGGTGCAGTTTGCCCCGGGCCACCAGGTGCTTCAGGCAGAAGGGCCTTGTGCTCCCAAGCACATAGGATTTAGCTCCCCGGGCAGGTAACTGGCTGCGTGACTAGTGTTTCGTGAGGCCCCCTTAAACAGCTGCTTAAGCGTGCCTGTGGTGTGGTGCTCCAAGCTGAGATAAGAAGGTAGAAGGATGGGCTGGACAGCATTGTGGAGTGTTTCCTGAGGACTCTGCCCGGGGAACTAGGGGGAAGGGGCTTCAGTAGCTTATCAAGAAGAACGAAGAAGCGTCCTTCGGATCTTGGGGGCAGCATAGAAGAAGCTGCTTCTGCGAGCTGACTTCAAAGCTGAATGAAGATGGCTCTGAAGAGACTCCCGTAGAAACCTAAACCCCATAACCATGCCTGAGAATGCCTCGTGTAGTCTGTAAAAATGCAGGAACTCTTTCCTAACTTCTGTAACTTCAAAATGAAGCTCATCTATCTGTCCTTTTTTTTTTTTTTTTTTTAATGGAAGATATGTTATAAAGTAATTCTAAATTGATGGATTCTTGTAAGATTTCATGTGCTTTCTTAGCATTACTAAGTTACATTCTGTTTCATCTCCACTAATTCCATTCATTCCTCCAGTGTAATTCTTTCATCACTTCCAACGACGGCATGTTTGTGACTCCCAAGGAGTGATCCCTTGTGGACATTGTATCTAAATTTTTGTGCTAATTTCTTAAAAACAAACAAACAAAAAACAAAAACAAAAACCCTCCAGCTTGTTTCAATTTAGTTGTATCCTTGATCATATTCCCTGTTGTTACAACCTCTTGTTCTTATTTTGGACAAGATGATCCAGATTGTAACTGATTTTTTGAGTATGTGCTGCTCATATCTTTTAAATGATCTGCAGGACAGAATTTTTATAGACACTTTTTACATGCAACTACTGCAGAAAGTGATAGGGTTTGATTTGTCAACTTGGTCTGAGTGCTGAGCAAATGCTGTAATCTGGACCAGTAATAAATTGCTGTTGCAGATGTTTTGTTTTATTCAGATTCTGTGATTATTATCTTGATTAAACACACCATATTGCAGTTTTGTAGGTATGGTGTAATGCTCTTTATACCCAAACTTACATACTATTACATACTATCTAAGAATAATATACCATAGTTCTCATGGAGCATGGTATTTGTTTTCTGTTAATGCACTCTGAATTATTATTCTTTTCTCCCTTGCTGGTTTGCTCCTAAGCAGCTACATGGTCTTTTTGTAATCTGCATTAAATCATAAAAGACAGTGTGTAATATTTGAGCTAATCACAGTGTTTGTGTATTATGAAGTAGATCTGATAAAAGGAAGTGTCAATTTTTAAGTAATACAGGATATTAACAATGATAAGCTTGCTACATTCCCACTCACTTTTGGTGAAGGCCTGTGTTAAAAGCCTAACAAACACTGCATCTTTCCTAATTGCATATATGAGTGTTGCTTCCATACCGATTATACTACTGAATGAGAGTTCAGAGGTAAGGAAAACATGAATCCTCAAGCACCATTCGTGAAATTAAATTTTACCTTCGTGATTCACATGGCCTGGATCAGTTTTAGTGTGCATGTCTTATAAAGCAAGAATTTTAGAAGTCTGATACCTGTAGCCAACACTGTATATTTGTGTAGTTTGATTCTTACATCCTTTTTAAAAAAAATCTTAAGTGAATAGGAACCAACTCTTACCATCTTCAGTGATGGGCCCCAACTGCCCTGGATAATGTGGGTCCTTAAGGCAGGTTATTTAAGTGGAGAGTCTGTACTGGACTAAGCGTAGGGTTCCTTCTTTGCACTCTTGGCCTGTTCTAAAGGACTCTGTATCAAACCCCAGAGAAAGACGCAAAGACTCAAAACAGTGTATTTGGTACCATTTCCAAGTATTTCCTGATTGTATTTAATTTTCTAGTTTAAGATGCGGCATCCCCCCCGGTTTAATGCGACTTGCTAAATGTGGCATAACATCAAACTTGAGGGGTAAACCTTCAGCCTGTTCTGCTGGTAGCTGAAGCTTTTGACTCCTTGTTCCCAAATGTCTTTCCATCACATTTCCAAAAAGAGCTGTGTTTGAAGCAATGTTGGTATGCTAGATACCTTTGCTTCCCTTGCTTTCTTGTAGCAGCTGAGAAAAATGTCTAACAGATCGGAGGAGAGATGGGGGATGGAATCACTTAGTTGGTAGAGTTCTGTTTTTTTGTTTCTTTTAAATCTCACTTATGTTAGCATTTGTAACTGATAACTGTCACAAGGGAACGTGGGTTTTCTTGAGCAGGAAGAGAAGGTAACGGGAAATGGAATTCCAGTGACCTGGAAATCTGTCTTTTTACTTAATTATCAAGCAGTAAGGAAGACTGCTCTGGCCTCTCTGCATAGAAGATGCTTCTTCAGGACAGCTATAGCCATTTTGAGCTCTGCCTGATGAGTAAAGCGGAATTATGAAATGTGTGACACTGTGGTGGTTCTTACATGTCTGAAGCTTTGCAGGGGGCTTGGTGAGGGGCTGTGCTAGTACGTTGATACCTGAGCTCTTCCTGTTAAACGCTCTCTTCGTGTTCCTGAGGACCTTGTAATCACCATCCCCGGTAATGGTAAAAGTCACAACTAGAAATAAGTTGTGAAAGCAACATATGCTTCTCCAGCTTTGACCCAAAGGAACTTCAATGTACTAGGGGCCGCCTCGGAGCGTTACCGCAGGAGCAAAGCCGCGTCTCACCTGAGTCGTGCAGAACAGTCAGTTGTGGACGGAGGCTCATTCCAATAAGCAGGGTGAAAGGATTACAAAAAGGCTTGTGCTTAGACACAAATACAGGCTGGGACAGAGGCAGCCTGGCACGCGTCTGCACAGAGATGAGGTGGTCATTAAATCACTTTTTCTCCCTCGGAGCTTGGATATTTCAAGTTGGAGAAACTATTGAAACTATTTTCAATTTTAATTAAGTGTCTTTGCCCTAATGAGGTAACAGAGGTCTGAAATTTTCCTGGAAGATGAGCATGTAGTCTGTGCCATTAACTTTATCAAGCATTTTCAATAAACTTGAATGTGTTTCTGGATGGTTCTTTTGGAGCAAATATTTAACTAGTGCCTGATTTGTCAGCACTATAAGGAAACTCTTTAATGATTCTTTGCAATGGATACTGCAGTCTAAATGTGTGAGTAGGTTTATTTAAAATAAAAATTGTTCAGCTACCCTGATGATGTGGTCCAGATTGCAGAAGAATGAGTTTCTAGATACTGTTACACTTCTGTGAATAATTCTATGTGGAAATAAGGTTGAAACACTACATTACTGCTACCTGATTGGAAAAAAAAAAGTCACACTTGACCTTCACGCTGTCATATCCTCACCTACTGTGTTGCTATAGAGCAAAAGTATTTACCTATCCTGAACTCATCTCATCTCAGTTACGCCTTTGTGCTTTATTAATTTTCTGGGGGAAAAGCTCTTTTGCTGATTGTAAATCAGAAAATATCCACAAACACTAACAATTTAGTAAAATAAAATTCTTGGAAGATATCACTAGCCATATGTCTGTCTCATCAGGTCTGCACAGTGTGAAGCCACACAAGGAGTTTAAATTAGGTTAAATTAGGAGTTTAAATAGGCCTACAGCCTTACGATTGCAAAAGGAGGGGGAGTGCTGCTTGTTTTGAAATTAAAAGCAAACAGGAAAAAATAAGCTATTGCTGGCTGATCATTTCTTTCAAAGAGTGTGACAGAGCAAGCCTTAGAAGTGGCTGCTTGGAGGGGAAGGTAAGATGATACCGTGGACTTGAAGAATATTCATGTCTCTGCTGCCTGGGCTCTACAAATCAGCAATACATGATTTCTTTCTAATACAAGTATGAACGGCATTAAAGTGAAAAGATTTCTGTTAGAGAAGGTACAGGGGCATAATTTAGTATAAGAAGTGCTGTGGTGGAAAGGCATTAAATGCCATTTTCAGAATGCTGTGGTTAGTTGGGATAGAAACACTAACTAAGTTGCAGAGAGAAGCTGATACAATTGAAGGGCATCTACTCCATTTTTCTCATTAACTTGAAATCAAAGTGAAGTTTACAGTGATGATACTTAGCTAAACGTTTAGTTCTAGTGTATATTAACTTACATTGCTGGTACTCTTAACTTTCATTTTTAGTGATAGAGCCTGAAATAGAGTATTCTTTATGACCTCAACAAATTTTAAAAAGAAAAGAAGAGAGATTAGGATAGGGTTTTTGCCTGTTCTGCTGTTGATGATCTCTAAAGGCCTGTCGGGATCACTTTTTAGAAAAATGCATGCTCTGATCATGTGCTCTGTCAGCTGTGGGGATTACTTTCAGGTAGCACAGGACAGAGCCAGTGTAAAAGCCCCTGGGATGAGGCAGGAGTGTCAGCAGTTGCAGTGAGAGCAGACGTGCAGGCTGGGCCTGCGCACGGTGCCCGTGGGAGGCACCCAGCAGGAGCCGGGTGCCCTTGGGATCGTTTGGAATCGCTGCTGCTTGCGGTGGTGACAGCGAGCTCCGGGCTGGGCTTCCTCAGGTGGCGTGTTCTGAGGGACCCTGTGTGTGTAAATACGTCTGTACTGTCCTGAGGACCGCGTGGAAACGGAGTCCGTACGTAAAAGGGGGAAACAGTTGGCCTTGGATGTATGCTGTAAAGGATGGAAAACTGTATTAAAAAAAATGCCCCAAAGTTTCATGTTGCATTTCTTGTTAGTTTATGTTACAAGGTTTAGTTTATTAAAACTAGACTTTGTTGTAGCCATCTTGTCTGGAATGGTAAATTGAGCTGTTCGTAATCCTGTTTCCTCCCGCTTTCTCGTTCTGACCTTAACTGGCTTCATGGCTGACTTTGTATCTGCTGCCTCTTCCGCACTCGACAAACCTTGTTGTAGACCCAGGCCAAACCCCAGGTGTTGGCGCCAGATGCGGTGTGGACTGTGTGTATGACACGGGGAGGAGGTTTATACAGGGCTAGTAAAGGAGGTGTCTTTAGTTAGGACCCTGGAAAGCGTAACTTACTGGGAAGATGTTCAGTCAGGAGGCAGTTGGCAGAGCACATCCTGGGAGTGAAGTGAGCGTGAGCCAGAGCTCTGCCCTGCACAACGGTAACTGCTCCTGCGCAAGGTGACGCCTTTGGGAGAAGCGATTAATTTACCTACTTGGTCATTAATTGCCCTTAGCACGAGACAAACTTCAGCTTGAAAGCTACGCTCTTAGCTATGCTCTTTTTACAGTACGTTCTCATTAAAGCAGCATGTGCATGTGCACACACACATGGGTGCTCTGTTACTGGCTTCATGAGACCATTTTGGTTAGAACTGAACCTGTAAGAATGTCTTCTCCCCCACAGCTCGTTCTGGCGTGGTTTTTCCCCTTCTTCATGCGCGTGTATTTGTTTGTTTGTTGCAGGTACTCAAGCAGTGGCACCGCCGCCGCCGGCACCCGTTGTTGGGCTGCAGACT